AAAATGTTCATATAGGGGAATTTACGTATTCTCGGCAACCTAAGCAGCGACCTTCTTTCTATAGCCTTTTTCTCTAAGGAACGCACACATATGCAGTATTGGTTTGTTTACAATCTTTTGCTGCCAGCTGCTCTAACAATTTCAGTCGAAAGAATTGTCAAAAACTGTTTTGAAACGCTTTTACAAAGCTCCAATCTTCTCTAGTGAGAGCGAGTATTGTCGGCAACCAGTTTTTCTTCGGCAACCGTTCCATTTGAACTGCATGTAAATCTGCTGTTCTATTATCGGCAACTCGAAATCAGCTACAATTTGTAGTGCGTGTGTTGCATTTCAAGAAAACCTTGCTAGATTGCTTTTTCTCAGTGGTAAAAATATAGTCAAAGTGAAGCTGAAAGCATAAAGAATCGTTTGCATGCATTCAGCGAAGTGTTTTCGTAAGAACATCCAGTGGAAATAGTGTTTCAATTTGTGTTGCCGAAAATAGTCTGTCATGCCGAAGCCGTCATTTCCCCTAGTACATATACTCCTTTTCCCTTTGTCCTTTTCATTTACCTTTCGCTCTTATTTTTTTCAGAAAGCGAGTAATGGCGCTATAGCCATAAGCCATAAAAGGCTAGGACAAGAGTAAGTGATCATGTCCCAACCATCAAAGGAAAATGGAGCATCACTTAACCTTTCTAGCTAAGATGCATCCAACGACCAATCAAGCATATAATCGTGTCGTTTTATCCATTTATTGGATTCTGAAGCATCGTGTTTAAATTTTCGATGTCTTTTGAATCATCTTGACCCTTAAATGCTGCACGGCCGTTTTGGTATGTGTGACGCATCTTAGATGTGAAACATATATCAAATAAACAGGAATAATGATAGAGATATATCAATTATTGTCCAGGATACTTTAAAGTACTGGCTGTGTTGGTTTTTTCTTTCCATGATTTGTTTTCCGTCGGTCTTGTTTTCCGTGCTGAGCACCAATGCTACCGACACCAGGGAGGCAGTTCCCACACTTGGACCCTATCTATCGACCCATCAACTCATGAACCGGGGACCAACGGCTTTACCCCCGAAGAAAGGCGTGATCAGAGATGTTATGCCTCAGAACATCCCGGCGGTGCCAATTGGGATTGAAACCAGGCTTGCTGGGGTGAGAGTTTAAAATCTAGTTTTTTCTAAAATAGCTCTAACTTCTTACACACTCTTCCAAATAAGCCCAATACGATACCGATAACCAATAAATGGTTGATTAGCCAGCAGCCAAAATCTATCCTATTAAGTTATGCTCGTACAGCTGTCTTTATGAAATGTACGGACAGCTATACGCTCAATTTTGAGAACACTGTACATCCAGAACCAGTTAATTGATTTCATAATTATTCAAACTCTTTCTATGGGACCATAGTGCCTATCATTTGGCAACTAGTTCGGATCAGCAGTTTCCAAGAAACGGTACTTAATTTCTACGTAAAATTTACTTGGACGTCCACGAATTTAACGAAATGACGCCTTAGAAGACCTGAAGTCATACCGAGCGTTCTTATCCAGCGAACGCACACAACGACTGCGGGAGACTGCACGGAAATTCTACAGTCCTCGAAATTTTCATTAACATTGACGAAATCTACGGAAGGAATGAACAACGACTCTCTCCTCGCAGAAGAAAACTACAATGTAAGTAAAACTAGTCCTCCAAAAATCTCTTCACCTTCGCCATCAGAATGCGACTGAAATTCTGGTGAATAATAATGGAGACAATATTTTGTCAACCTACGCACTTCCAACAATTTCTTCACAAAAACAGAATACGACTGAAATTTTGGTTTTCTGTCAAAATTTCAATTGCCTGAAAAGCCCAGCCAAAATGAATTGCTAATCAAGGCCGGCAACATGAAGCTCTTTTTGCAAATAAGAAATGATGAAAACATCAATACATTCTAGAGTGAAATACACATATTCTACACATGAAGTAAAAAAGCCTATTAGAACTGAATGTAATAAGATGTAACTTTATATCATTTAACAGAAAAAGAACTCCATTAAACATTTAAAATATATTAGGAAAACAGTATGTAGAAAAATGTGAAAGAGTTAGGGATTTAGGGATTATCTTTGACTCCAAACTAACTTTCATAGATCATTAAAACATAATCATTGACAGTGAAAATAACATGCTAGACTTTATCAAGCACTTTTGCTATAACTTTCAGGACACAATTAAAACACTATATATTGCCAAACTATGCAAAATTTGGCGCATGATGGCGTCTTACAATCAATACTACGAAACCATCGACTTTCCAATGTCTCAGCATAAACTAAAATAATATTTTAACTCCATACGGAATCATAACTCATAAGAAGTAAAAATTGAATAGCAGACAATATTTTTTTTTTTAATATTCTTATGAAAAACAAATCTGGATATGTATTTGTACTAGTCGGTTGATGAAATAAATAAATAATTCAATAAATTTATTTCGTTACAAATGCACTCACAGACATTTCCCGAGCTCGTCGAGTTGAGCCGATTAGTACATTTGGCTCGACCCTCAAAGCCTCGGATCCGATAGCCAGTTTTCCATGCGATTTGTATCAATCTAGATCAATTTATCGATTCTTGAGCAGATTTTTGTGAAAAAAAATTATCTTCTTGCTTTTCACAAAAAAAAAAAAAAAAGCATTGCCAGTTTTTCTGGCCAGCTGAACCAAGACTTGAAGTACAAACATTGGTCCAAATTTGAATTATTATAATTTCGTTATGTTGGTTATGACGAAACAAACTTGTTGATGTAACGTGTTATGTATTTGTCAGGTATTTTCATAGGATTTCAACAGTGAATAGTGTAGGTAATTTCCATCTTAAAATTTACAGGGTGATTCGTAATAACTGTCACTTTTAAAATCGGTCATAACGATTAAACGCTTGCATTATTTTTTGATATCAGTATATTCCAGATATACTACATATATAACCTTCAACTTAGCATACTTTAATTCAAATCTCTCTCCCTTTACCTTTAATTACCAACCACATTTATCACGAAAACGAACCACAGCTGGCACGCAAGTTTTAGTTCTAGCACTTTTGGAGTCCTGGCGATGCGTCTAAGCACAGATATTGAACGGATTTTTCACGCATGGTTCCTTTTTACCTCTATAATGATGCGAAAAATAAATGTTTCATTCTTTCGAAGAGATTTCAGTGTCTAAAAGATAACACACGATTTTAAACAAATTTATGACATGCTCCATTTTCACGTCCAAGACTGCTTGAAATCGAAAACGAATGAAATTTCAAATCCTACTATCAATACAAGCTGATAGTGGCACACACTTTAAAACAAAAATACTTGAACATATACCGATTTTACCCATTGAGAATTGCATATTTCTGAAATCGGTGACAGTTATTCTGAATCACCCTGCAATAAAATTACGTATTTTATCCAAAATCTGGTCTGAAATGTTCATATCTTAATAAATTTGGAACTGTCCGGCAAATAACACAGATAATCCATGAATTAGTTGAAAAATAAGCAGGAACGTATCACAACCTTGTAAATTGTGACTGGATCTTAATTTTTCACCAAGTTTGAATTAACTGATCGTAAATATACGAATAATGTTTTGATAAAAAGGGAGCAGTCGACGGAGCTGTTTGGGTACGGTTCGGTTACAAAAGGTGGACTAAAACTCTCAAGCAACATTTCCGGTTTTATTATGATATTCAAGTTCATTGTTAAGAGATGAACTAGCCTATGGCTAAAAATCTCTCTAAAAAAAGTTCATTGTAGGCAGGGTTGCTTCCACTCACTTGCTATAAAAAATTGTTTTTCGGAATTATAAAATCATTAGATGATGTAACGATATGTTGTACTTGTAAGTAACAAGAATAGGGTGTAAAGTATGTGTTTGACCCATAAAACCTGTCAATTTTGCTTACAGAGCGTCACAATCAGCGATCTTATGATTCGTGAGCGTTCACTCAGAGTGAGTGCTCACGAGTCGTAAAATCACTGATTGTGACGCACTGAAAGCAATATTGACAGGTTTTATGACTCAAACACATACCTAACGATCCCTTCTTGTAACTTACAAGTACTAATTATCATTATAACATCTAATGATTTCATAATTCTGAAAAACAATTTTTTATAGCAAGTGAGTGGAAGTAACCCTGATTGTAAGTGTTATAAACCTCTTCAAAACCATGATAAATCTAAAATTGTTTCGCGCTTGAGTTTAGCTCTTAAAGAATTCATTAAAAAGTAAATTCTATCCTATATTTCAGAACAGAGTAAAATAAAATGTCGATCACAAATTTGCGACGTCGAAAAACAAAAACAAAAATTTAAGAAGGTGATAAGGTTGGGATTAGAAAGAGTCGACATAATTGATCATAAATTTATTAGGTGAACACCGGCGTTTGACCATTATGAAAATAACCATCTGCTTGATCCTTTATCGTTTCAAGGTTGAACACATTATCCAAGTTATCGGGGGATGAGCTGGACTGTAATTGTTTCTGTAGGTGTGTAAAATCAGTTGTTTTGATTTTTAATGTTGCTGCAATGTGTTCTGTATCCTCCATCCAGGCTAGTTTGACACACTGGCACTAATGATCGTCCATATATTCATATTTACAGACTTAAGCAACATTTCTCACCCATCTCTTAAGCTACACAGTCTTCATCGAAACGCCCAATCATAAAACATAAACAAACCACCTCTTGCGTCTTCAATCACCATTGAACACAAACCATAGATCACCAACCGCCAGCAGTTTCTCCGACTGAGATTCTTTATAGCCACCCAGCTTCGTGAGAAGTAACCTACAGCCACCGGTACATAGTTTCAATCAATCACACAGCACGGTGCAATTTGCGCTAGGTCACATGTTCATGTCACTTCTCCGACCGAGTAATCCTTGCAAGGTCCTTGGGGCTAGCCCCTCGACACTAAATGCTGATGCACTAAATCCGATAACTATCGACACTCACCATTTTTGTCGCCTTCTCGGCTGTTGCTGTTGTATCCTTATGTAATCAGTTGAAGCACTTGATGCAGTGCTCCTTGAAATGCACACTCACGCACTTCCTCAGTCCTTGTGATCACTTTTTCACACCCTCGTCAGAGGTTAGTAATTCACACAGTTCGTAAATCCTCAAACCGCGCCCGATGCGTTAACGTAATATAACAACACACATACACACCCACACAGCGATCCGTTTCCCCCGAGAATGGCAGTGGCTATAGCGGTCAGGTGAAAATTCAAATGAGAACTAAAAGATGCTCCATCTCCTTACGGCGTTTTTATACCACTGTTGCGTCGCTCTTACGCGTCTCAAAGGTAAGTCTTGACGACGCGCTCAATGCTGGTGGTTCCTTGCGAGTGTTGCTGGTCAGCGGAAGGGCGAAGAAACGGTGACGGACGCTCCTCGAGTTGGGTGTGATAAAGATGCGTCTCTCGCACAGGGGAATGTGGGGTTTAACTGGCCGATCGGAAAGAGTCAGGAAAATGATGGCGTTCTTTAATTTGATCGCTCGTGTGACTACTTGCACTTCAAGTAATATACAGAGGATTAGTAAATAGGTTTGAAAAGTGCACTGAACCAAAATAACATATTCCCGTTATGTGGAATTCTAATAAATTGGCGCTTTAAGAAAATCAAATGAAAACGATATGATTGAAAATGAGTCTGGTAAATTCTATATAAAATTGTCACATGAAATTAACTTTTTGTTTTGACACATATATTTTATCGGTTCTAAAAAAACATCAGAGAGTGGAAGGTGGTGCCTTGAGTTCACAGTTGCGTTTTTTTATTGTAGCTGATTTGGGAGGTGTGATGCTGTCGGTACCTTCGCGCCTTACCTAATGAATGTAGTGCTACGTTATGCTTCTTTTGCTAGAGTGAAGAAAAATAACACTGACAAATTTATGTTCCATTTCGGTGGTGTCGCGTCGAATGTTCAAATCTTTCTTAATGCTCCTGTGTCCAATAAGACAACCTCTAAATTATACGAATTCATGGAACTGGTTCATGAAGTTCCAGTACTAGTTCTAGAATCTGGAAGAAGGCTTACAATTAAAATCTTAGCAAAGTAAATATTGCAGAAGTTTTTTTTTCAATCCTAATGCATTATTTTCCGGAACCCCTTTTCCTATGGGACAAAACAAAATGAAGGTTATTAAAATACACTCTTATAATTGCTAGCAATATTGCTTTTATTTTTTACAATGTTTTATGAGTGTGCGAAAACATCGTTGAAAATAATTTTAATAATTTATGCAGAATTATTATATAGATTAATTGAAAACGATATTCATCCCAAAAACCATCTATTCCAATGAGATGTACATATTTTCCTATAGTACAAACTTAAATTTCTATCTAATAGTTTCTACAAGTCTGTTAACACTTTAGACACATCAACAAACGTCAAAAATCTTTAAAAGTCACTCCAATAAAATATAACTGATTTTCATATAAGATATATCTTTTAGTGAGCAATATTCATCACGAATACAGGTATATTTTAATGGATTTTCTTATAGTGCAAACATATCTGACTTTACATTAGTTTCTAGATGTCTGTTCCCACCTATGAAATATCAACAGTTCTTCACTATAAAATATATCGAACAATTTTCATATACATCTTACTCATTGCTAACCAGCAAAGGAATGTTATGTATTAAGTATGTTAAATTACGATAGAAATCGTTCCCTATCGCAGTCATAGTTTTTAGCTGATAATCCAATGGAATCTATCAATCATCGCATAGAATGAATAAACCTTCGAACATTGCTATGTTATTCACAGAAAAAAAAAAATAATATCACATCAAAGTGGATACACTTCAATTGTGTCGAAAATATGGTGTAATATTACTTGCCAAAAAGGACAAAATTATCATTAATACAATGTATGAACTGACATTACGCTGCTCTTCTTCTTCTTCTTGTTCGCATTTCAAGCTTATTGCTTAGCGCATATTAGCTTATTGCGTGCTCTCAACTTAGTGTTCTAAATGCACTTCCACAGTTATTAATTGAGAGCTTTCGATGCCAATACGAATGCATGAATTTGTATTTTGTGTGGCAAGCACAATGATACTCTATGCCCAGGGAAGTCGAGAAAATTTCCAATCCGAAAGATTCCCTCGACCGGACTGGGAATCGAACCCGCCGCCTCCGGCTTGGTTATACCGTGCCTTTACTGACTAGACTATGAGGCCCCTCAACTGCCCCGCTGCTCTTACTGCATTTGTTTATTGTTGTGGCCATAAAAATTACATCAGATTTTTGACATGATTTAAGTGCATCCTCTTGGATGTAATATTAAAATTTATTTTTTGCTGTGTAAGATGGATCCAATAAACCGTACATGTTGATTTGTTTCAGAGAACTAAATAGAAGTCTGGAAAATGCAGGATTTTTTTAATGTTTGTATGAAAGGTGCGGTAAGTGTAAAGAATCTATAAAGTTGATAACAGAACATATTAAAAATAGTTCAATCAAATGTATGTTCCATCAATACATTGAAAGTAGAAAACATTGATTGTACAAAAATATGATAATAAGCTACATATTATTGTAATGCCCTTACCTATGCTACAGAGACGTAGTGAAGGTTTGCTACGCCCTTGGCGAAGTGCTGTCATGGTAAATTTAGAGCTAGCTACTCACTGATTTTTATGTGTGCGCTTTCGTCCTCCTGTCGATATCTGAGAACAGTGAAATAAGAAACTGTCTTAATACACAAATAAAAATCGGCAAGAACTTATAACAAACTATCGAAACTTCTTTATAGCCTCGCCCAATTTTCCTTAATCAAAACGAGATAATTTATGCAGTTCTAAGATTTTCACCGAAGTTCATGGATCTCTCATACACTATTGAAAATAATTTCTCAAGAACGTTAAAGTTCCCTGACAGTCTAGTATTCCCTGAAATTTTTGGAGTTTCCCTGAAGTTCACATGACTTTACGGAGCTCTTAGAACTTTTCAAAAGTTTCCGCAATTTTCCAGAAGTTTTCATACCTACCAAGAAGTTCTTTGACCTTATCTGAGCTCCCGCAATTTTCTTGAAGTTTTAAAAACTACCTTGAAGTTCATGGAAGTTCTCTCAAAATCTCTTAAGGGAGGAAATACATATAAAAATTTTTTTATCGATTTTTTATACTTTACTTTAAATTTTTTTTTAAATACTACGAGCGATCTATGGTCCCGGTATCGCCGATTTACCGTAAGTTCCAGAAATCATGTTTTTACCCAACCCAAAACTTTAAACGTGTTCTTTTCAAAACAGTGTTTTCCAAATTGGCGGGAAGGATAACTCAAAAAGTTCTCATCCAAATGACTTGAAACCTGGCACATCTTAAAGGAATTAGATTTTTACTCTATGTGAACCACTGATATCATAAAAAAATAACAATAAATAGTGAAAAAAAAACAGTGAAAAATCAACTTTTTTTTCAGATATTTTTTTTTAATTTTTAGATTGTTTTTTTACATAGAATAAAAATCTTTTCTGAATAAGGTCCAATTGATAAAAGATAGTTTTGTCCATTTTTCAGGTCTCTAGAACTCCCGCCAATTACCAATCCCCACCGGAGGTGACCTCCTTCCGATGTAACCCCAAGGAGCCACAGGTGAAAAAAAAATCTCAAATGTAGAGGAAGATTTAAGCAATTTAATGCAAAAAACTCCAAACGTTTGCGTTGTTTCATTTGCTCACAAAAAAATCCGAAATCGTCGAGTTTTTGACGTGTTACTTGTATTACTTGTTACTTGTGTTACTTTCCTGAAGTTTTAGGTGCATCCCTAAAATATTCAGGTGACCCAAAATCTTGATTTAGTTTTCAAAGTATGACAGCCATATCTAAGCAGGAAATATAATTATCGAGTTATGGAACACCAATCCAACTCAAAATCGTTATCACAATAGTCATTTAATTATTTTTTACTATGGTTCTATAACTCGACATCGTGTTAGCAGACATCAAGTTGTGGATAGTTGACTGTATGTATATTCATTAGTCTTGTACATATTGCTTTCCCTCGATCTCATTTTTTTCTAGGCTCGAAATGTCTAAATGAATATTGAAGCATAATTCCTTAATTTTCAAACTTACACCTACTTACACTATAGGTTCAATTGCGTTTCTAATGGTTTAAATGATACCGTGGACCTCTGGTAATCTTATCGTTTTAAATCTGAACACTTCATAATTTGAACATAGGAGGAGGAGGGGCATAGTGAACAGGTGGGGCATATTGAGCATCCCGCAGTTTGGCTCTGGATCTCCAGCTGCATGAAACAAATCAACTGGTACTAGGTTCAATATCATTATGATATTGATACTACCACCAACCAATTGGTTCCGAACGGCCGGAAGTCCAAGCTGGTGCACCGGATGCTCGACTATTAGTACAAGACACTGAAGAAGTCTGCACATTGTTGACGAAATACGCGTATCTGTCAAGGATAAGCAAATAAGGTAGTGAAATTAAATGAAAATTACTAATTTTTCTCCCTCTCTCTTTTTTTATTTTTTCCTTTGGTTTGTTTTCCGTCGATCTTGTTTTCCGTGCTGAACACCAATGCTACCGACGCCAGGGAGGCAGCTCCCACACCTGGACCCTACATATCGACTCATCAACTCATGAGCCGGGGACCAACGGCTTTACTTCCCTTCCGAAGACTCTCTCTCTCTCTTTTTATACAGGTATTCCACTTAGACGCCCACATTCATCAGGATTCATATTCTAGACATAATTTTCTTTAAATTGAAGATATTTGCATCAATAAACATTTGTTAATTTTGGCCCAATGTCACCCCCTAGGTACAATGTCACCCCAGCTTACGGTACCAGGAATTGGGATAAAAGAATACCGGCTAAAACTCGCGTAATACGAGAAAAGGCCTATTATTGTTGATCGATTCTCTTCATCCTGTTAATCACTTTTTCACGTGGCCAACGTAGTGATCTTTTGAGTGTAGGAATTATCAGGATTTTTTACATGAACTTATCTTAAAATTGTACTAATAATTGTTGAAGCGATGTCGCAGCGCCTCATTGTCGTTATAGCGTCACTGCGCGTCAAAGCGCCGCCGCGGGCCAAAGCGTCGCCACGTGTTAAAGCGCCGCTGCGATTTGAGTCGCCACTGCGATTTGAGGCGCCGCCATGATTTGAAGCGTCGCCGCGATTTGAAGCGCCGCCGCGATTTGAAGCGCCGCTTCGATTTGGGGCGCCGCTTTATTTTGAGGAGCCGCTTCGATTTGACGCGCCGCCTTATTTTGACGCGCCGCCTTATTTTGA